CCAGCCCCAGCCCCTGGCACCCGCACGCTTCCCAAACGCACTGGCACCACAGGTGAAGGCTCGACGTTTTTGATGACAGCAAAGGACTTTGCCAAGACAAAAGAACAGTTTTATCTCAAGCCTTGAAGACCAGGATGGAAATAATCCCTTGCCCGCTCAGCACTGGAGTTCTCCACCCATTACATCTCTCCTGATCTCGCTCTTTTCCTTCTCCTAAGGTGATTTGTTTTCTCTTCCCTGACAGAAGTGAAATACAAGTTACATTTCAAGTTTCAGGTGTCCGAAGACCAGCAAAAAGTTAAAAGCAGATGGGACAGCCCAGTTCAAGTGCACCAGGCTACCGTGTAGGGCAGACACTTGACTCCAGAGTCCTGTTTGCAGATCATCGGGCCAAAGGAGAGGTAGCGCCTCTGGTAGCCAAAAACTAGGGGATGATTTGGGGGGAAGGGGGGAAGAGGGGAGACAGCCACACAGGGCAAGACTCTACACTGTGATCTAAAAATAACAATTAAAAAACCCCCAACGGTGACAGCCAACACAGACTTGCTCACAAAAAACAGCTGTTAAACAAGTTCCAGTTACAAAGTCAAACTCAGCCTTTGGCAACGGCTCTGAAAAAAAATAATCTATCATCAAGGATAGGTTTAACGAGAGCGCAAGCGGCCGGAGCCCGCCTGCCCAGCCCGCACCAGTGCCAAACGCCAGCTGGGAAGGCGCTCGCTCGACTCCCGGCCTCGCTGGGCGACTGCACGGCGACAGCTGCCAAACTCTCGGGGCAAAACAGGGGAGGCAGAATCGCACCGTCCTGTTTGCACGAGTCACCCTCCCGAGAGCGACTGCAACGCTTCGCAGGCTGGTGAGCGCCCTTTCCAAAAAGAAGCTGACCGCACGCCTCGACGATTCCGCACCGAGGACTTTTCCTCGTGAGAGGCAGGCTGGTCAGGTCAGACCGACCAGCTTTTCTGGAGCAAACCCCCAGAACGCTACGCTGTCTTCTCCCCTGAGCTACACACAGAGCAGAAAGAGAGAACATCGACATCTCTTATTTCAGACCACCTGCAGAAAAAGCAGATGCAGAAACTCAATACGGCTCCGAGGCACAGCCCCAGTCAGCCTATAGGCAAACCCAATTCCCAAGTTTTAGACTGCGGAGGCTTTTTGAAGGGGTCAGACGCCCGCACGTAGGGCCAGGCAGGAAACCCAATCTTAGCACACCGCGGAAAGACAGCCGTATATTCTCTACACAACCGCTTCAACGGCTTTGGAATACACCCCGCCCCGCTTCTCAGAAAAAGCGCTTCTCCTTCCCTGTGTGTTAAGTTTCATCCTCCCAGGAGCCCTCAGCGAATTACGGGCTCCCCACGGAAGTTTCTGTAAGGCATCAGAAGGGTGTCCCCACGGGCCACCGAAGCGGGTTACAGCATATCCTCTTCCCTCACGCCGCGGGAGGTACGCGGCGAGCGGAGGGTTTTGCAACACGT